GAGGATCGCGCTCGAGCACATCCGACTTTAGTTCGATCGTAAAGAGCTCTTTAATTTCTGAAAAGGATTCTCAATTTGTCTGCTCGTAGTCTGGATTAATTTGCACGATAAATATGGAATATATCGCTATTTCAGGTTTTTTTTAGCTTATCTTTATTGGACAAATAAAATTTATTTCAAACATTATTTTGACACGAGAATTTATTTACGAATATTTTCTCTTAGCAAATACTCGCTGGTACGTTAATAACTGCAATTTAATTCGAGATATCTCTAAATATGTTTCCGGGACATTGAACGCAGGATTTGCTTTGGCAATGTAAGTGGACTGACCGAGCCTGGTACAAATTTTAGAACGTTTAAATAATATACTGGCTCTCGCGCACCTTGGCTTTTATAATCGTCCGCCGGCATCCCGACCAAGTGTAAGATTTGCGAATAGTAAATCGCCGAGAGTCGCAAATTGATGCTGTGCCAAATTATAGTTACGAGTTCGCATCTGTTCAAATAATCGCCGATTCTCCCCGAGAACACGCGTATATTTTGAATCCTATTAATAGCCGCGCGCGAAATTAAGTCGTTAACGTACGCATTAGTCAGTGATTTATCACGCTTACTGGCAGACAGTTTCACTTTCCCGCTTTACAAGAGATTGCGCACATCTCTATAACAAAAACACTTTCTAGTTTACAGGCGAAAAAAGTAACTCAAACAGTTACTCGCAGCTAATCTCTATAACGGAACATCGAAGAAATCTCTATCCTATATAAAATTTAACTCCGATTTAATTACTGACCGAGACTTCGCGCAAGTAATATCTTCCTTCTCTCCGCGCGTAAAATTTACATTAATTTGCAGTTGAAATTTAATTTGCATTTACATCGCGATACGCGCGATCCATAGATTTCGTAAATTAAAGTAAAGTTCTGTATATTTACAGAAAAATATCTTTCTTCAGATTTGGTTTTTGGCTGAAGAATTTATTTTATGAATTTTATTGCTCTAAATTATCAAATTATATGAAGTAAATGCAGAATTGGGACATAATACGTAACATTTTCGACTGTGAAACGGCGCATGGCGTCGTTTGCATCGATCCGTCTGGTAGGGCTGTCTTGATTTGGCATAATCGGAATTAATTGATAATTTGCCACTCGGGGGATTGCGAATAGCCCGCCCGTCGACCGGGAATTTTTATTTCGCACGTGGCCACCCGAAATACTCGCCGCCCGGAAGTTTTAATGAGCCGCATTCACGGCAATCACGAGTGTGCAGTTTTGTTCGCGGCACGCGTGCGCCCCTTTATGATAGCGGAACGAAAGAGTCACTTTGCGTTGCATTTCGCCGAGCCATTTGCCGGCAAACACCAGCATAAACATTTATTTATTCCCATTCGTATACCGTTACCCTCTCGTATTGTAAGTGATTTTGAATCGCAACGCCATTCGTATAAGTATTTGCCTGCGTGTATTTACTGAATTAAACAAGGCAGCTGATGCTTTTACAAGCGCGCGATTCGTGGGTGGATGAGATATGTTGATACACGTATCTAGTGGCTTCCGCGCGAGATATTCCTGTTTATCCAATCTGCCGCTGTGTACATACGCAAGGTGTATCATGTAAATCCTCCTGGATTTTGCCTAGCATTATAATTGAAGAAGACTTATTATTCATATTCCTCAGATTCAATCTGCCTCTAGCTCTTCCAGCAACGAGTGACTCGTCCGCGCGAAACGTTTCTTAGAAAAGAATCCGAAAAATCCAATTCATGATACTCGGGGAAAGTGCAACGCTAAAGTACGATATTATAGTGTTGCAATTAACGTTGAGAACACGCGGTGAAAATGCGCCGCTGTTTGTATCCGCGTCCATTTAAGTCGCTCTCAAGGCGCGTACGTTACGTCGTAACGGAGCACCGATCGGCTCCGCTCCATTCCGCTCCGCTCCGGGAATCGGCTCGCTCGCGCGGGTTAATGAGCTCCTCCCTGCGTGCGTACACCATGGCCGGAGTGACGTTTCCACTCGGCGTCGTGCTTCCGAGATATCGATACGCCCACGTGCCGTCGCCGGAGTGTGCCACGTATCCGAGTACGCGCGTATTAGGTACTCGGTCGCGGCTGCTATACGTAATCGCGCGCGCACACAAGCGCGGCAACCAGCTGCAGGCAGCATCGCGTTGGCGCACGCGGCATTAGAAAGGCGGCCGCGACTGGGAGATGTCACAAGGTAAACCGCATAACATAACTGGGATACACAGGGAGTTATTGTGCATGCCTATCTGCGCGATCGGTAGGCAATACGGTTTACCGGGCGGCGGCTGAAACCGAGCGCGCTCGAGCGTCCTTGAGAAAATTTCTCCCTCGCTATGTTCTCGCCGCACTTTCGTAGCCGCGCGCTCTCCTGAAAACCGCAAGGTTTTTCGCGACGATTTATTTTCGAATCGCGGAACAACGTTTCATTATCGCATCGAGGTTGTCCCCCCCCCCCGGGTCGGCTTTCCTGTCTCTGGCGGATTTTCGAGTTTCGAGGGTCAAAACGAGGCTTGGCTCGCAGCGGATTCATTACGTGAGTCTTGGCGGCGCGATTCGTGCGTGTTATTTATGCGCGCGTTAAGCATGCCTCGAACTGCCGCGCGTTGGAGCTCGGCGGCGAACAGCCTCCGTAGGGTCGACAGAGAAAGAGACGCGAAAGAGCCCGAGAAACCGCGCTATTGATCAGGCACGCGAGAAGGAAGGACGGAGAGAGAAAGGAAGAGAGAGAGAGAGGCAGAGTGAGAGAGAGAGATTGGTAAGAGCGGGGCGAGGTAAAACGCAAGATTACAATTTATACGAGCGGCCTCCGGACCGCACGGTTATTCACTCGCGACTTTTTATTTATGCCGCTGCCCTCCCATCCCGCTCTCGCCCCGCGCGAAACGCATCCGCGTATATCGCCGGTCCGAGAGCCGCGCGCGCAACGGACGATAATAATTTTTCATTACACCAGATCAGAGAGCGAGAGAGCCGCGCGGTCGCCGATCCATTCTCAGATCCCGTATTTTAATTGGGATCCGGGGATTTTACCGCGCACGAAATTAACGAAGTAGAGAGAGAGAGATTCCGGTCTGGAAACGTCGGGCGATGAAAATCGTGCGATCAGCCGGCGCGGCGTTTGATTGAATCGTTTCGACGAGAAACGTGGGTTCTTTCGCGAGCGCGATTACGTATAGATGCAAAGCGATGTAGAACCAGAAGGCAACAAGGACGCGTGAGAGCACTCGTGAACCGTCTCTGGCGACCCTTTAATAGGAATTTATGCCAACATTCTGCCTGACCTTAATTGCCGCCAGGCCTGATCAATTGGCGCCGAATCGCGTCGTTCTTTGTCGTAGCTCGCGCCTTCGTAGATCAAGCGTTTGCGCGAGGAGATCTATTTAGAGTGATCGTCGTGATCGACATTAATTAAAATACAACGATCGTTACGTCAAATGCGTTGAGGAGAGCACTTGGTATTCCAATACGAATATTTCGCGTATTGAAAATTATACGTTCGCGGTTGCTGTGCGCCGAAGGTAAACGTCGGTGACACGCGGAGCGATATCCAGAGTTCTATTGAATATTCATATCAAGTGCATTCGTTACTTCGATACTTTCTCATAACGTCACACGCGTAAATACTGTTAACAGTGCTATACATCTGGAGCGAGGTGAGCGTGGTACCCACCTCGGCGAGGTGCCTGTTTCCAAGATACTTAAAGGCCGAAAATAAACGGCGTATATTTTCTCGCGTAATTTTATTTATTGTGAATAAATAAACTCATCATTTTTCTTATTCTCGCGTAGGGTGAACGACTGAGGAAGCGAGAAAGCGTTTTATCTCTCGGATGAAACGTTTATATGATTTTCTAGAATGCAGTAGATTCCGGAGGTGTTTGACCCGCGCCATTGGACGCCATTAGATAATTTATCGCTTTGCCGTTAAACACGTTCCGCCGACTTATGTCAGGATATTCACCGTGGATATATACTTTTCCGATGCCGGGACACTCGGAGTTGGCAACGATACCCGAAATCGATTGCCGGCATTCGGCCATAAATATTTAACATCGGCGGAAAGACGCGCGAGGAAATCTAATGAACGGCTATAGAGACTCCGACGCGAACCTGACGAACAACAGCAGGTCTGCTTGTCATTCGAGGTGCATTCACGACCGGTGACTGCCCCTGGCCGTTGGTACGGAAAGGCGTCGCTCTCCGCCGACGAAACGTTTTAATGGCTCTCTCGGGAGCGAAGAAATAATTGTCCGGGTCACTTCTCGGTGTCGTTAAACTTGTTAAATCGGGGGTCATCACATCGCACGGACACACACACGTGGAGACGTATATATACCGATGCCGTGCATTCGCGCATGTGCGTGCCACTTTCTTTAAGAGATCATACCACCGCGCCACTTTCACGATGCGAAGAAAAGCCTTCGACCGCCACGGAAGCGATTCGGGCAATTTTAACGCGAAAACCGAGCGCGGGGTAATTGCGGTGTTATTTCCTCGCGTCGATAAAATTGCGCGGCGGAGAAACGCACGGAAGGTACTTCGTAGGAATACGTTAGATGTATATTGATACAATATACGAGCAATCTCTCAAAAGGTTCGCGTCAAACTTTCTTCCGAGTTCGGGGGATGGGCCTGCAACGAAAATTAATTGAATGTACTCTCTCGGCATTCTTCTAAAAATTTCAACGTTCACTTTCTCAGCACGTGCAACTTGATAAATTTTATATTTTGGCTGATGTTTCGCGCTGGAACTATAGTCATCCTGTACCTTCTCGAGAAACTCCACTGATCGTAAAGATACTGCCCTTGAAAACTCGAGTCATTGCACGCGTGGGCAAATAAATCTGCGAGTTCGAGCAAATTGCGAGCTCGATCTTTTTGTTCAGATGCCGGCGCGCGGCGTCGCGAATCTTGGTAGGCGCTTTTGATAGGCTCGTACGTAAAAGAAAATTCTTCTGTTTGTTCCAGAAATTGCCGTCTTTCTTCAACAGCAAGCCGACGCGAGTGGACAAGACGGACAACAACAATGCGAACAATTCTAACAGCACGAGCAACAACATCCACAATATGCCGCTGCACGAACCCATTAGTGCTACTTCCCCCGAAGTATACGGTATGTGAGAACACTATGATTACGCGAAAATCGCGGTACCTTATGCGGCGCGTGTGGGGAAACGTGCCAGTCGTGCCGCGCTATCATTTAATATATCGTCGACCGAATTGCGTATTTAAGACGCCGCGGATACGCATCTGAGCGTACGGAACGCGCTGTTACGCCGACGTGAATTGCAACGGCAATATGGGATTACGGCACATGTGAGAGATATATTATTCATGCTCCTCCGGAAAGACAATTCTCGGTTCGTACTTCGCGAACGAATAAATACAGCTTTGCACGGTTTAATAGAAATTAAGCGCTTTCCGTAGCCGAGATTAATCAGGGAAAACGCGTGGGATTTATGTACCAAAGATATTAACGCTCGTAGCGAAAAAAGAAAAGAATCTACGATCCGTCGGAGACTTACGTAACTCCCGCTGCGGACTCCCCGAAGTACGCAGCCCGGCCTCACGTGTGTTTTTTCTTCGCGAAAAAAATAGCCGGGAGATTGCCTATGACGCCCCAGGAGGCGGTGAAGTATGGCGGCTCCAGACTGACGGAATTCGAGCGCGCCGAGATCGAGAAGTACTCGGAGATCTGGTACCTGGGCCTGTCGGCCCACAAGATCCATGGCGAGGAGGTCTCCTCCCAGAACGGCGGCTACGACGACGAAAACGGCAGTTACAACAAGGTCCTGCACGATCATATCTCCTACAGGTGAGCGACCGTTCTCCTTCGCCGATGCCCCGGCGATGTGTGGACTTTCCCTCTTCTCTCCTAATTATTATCGCCGCACGCGCACGAGGTTTGTTTCGCCGACTACAGCTCGGAGATCGTATAGCTAGCTAAGCTTAGCAATGGAATCTCGCGATTGCGCGCACTCTTGCTGCATTCCGTGCGTCGTTGCTCTCGAGAGGAGAAATTGCGGTTGAGTACGCTGCGCGTACAGTTGTATCTAAACGCACGCGGTAAACTGTCGCGATAAATCGCGAAACAGTAAGTAAAAAATGTTCAACGACGAATTTTCTCCGCGCGTGAAAGATATCCACGCGTCAACGGTAAACGGGATTGGTAATTGCGAGAACGCGACTCTTCTTTTCGCCTTTCTTAAATTTCGTGGTTTACGTCGTTTTCTCGGGTTTTTTTTTCTCTTGCACGTGTGTAAATTATACGAAATTTGTGTGCATTCAGATACGAGATTTTGGAGGTGATCGGCAAGGGGAGTTTCGGTCAGGTGATCCGAGCGCTGGATCACAAAACGGGACAGCACATCGCCATCAAGATTATCAGGTACGCGGAAACGGTAAACTCATCTCGCGATGACTCAGATCAGCGAGATACGATCTGAAGAAAAACGCGACGCGTCCGTAATGGGATAATGTCTGATGCATCCGGCATTTTTCCGGATGCGTCCGCTTTCCGAGCGCGCACTGCGTCGTTTCTTTATTTAAACAGCGCGGCTTTCACTGTCCTTGCAGGAACAAAAAGAGATTCCATCATCAGGCGCTCATCGAGGTGAGAATCTTGGAGCATCTCAGAAAGAAGGATTTGGACGGGAACTCTCAGCACAATGTGATACATATGCTAGAATATTTTTACTTCAGGAATCACCTGTGCATCAGTTTCGAATTAATGAGGTGAGCGAGATCAAGCGAGATAAGCAGAGTCGAGCCTCCGCCCGCTGGAATTTATTTAAACGAACAAGTAAAATTGTCGTTGCAGCTTGAATCTGTACGAGCTAATCAAAAAGAACAATTATCAAGGATTCAGCCTGAGCCTGATCCGCCGTTTCGCCAACTCGCTAATTAGTTGCCTGAGACTGCTCTACCGAGAGAACATCATTCACTGTGACTTGAAACCGGTGTGTAACACGAAGGAGCGCACAGTCATGTTTTATTCATTCGTTAATCATTCGAGTGCCGTGTCTCATATACATTGTCATTGTTACAGGAAAATGTGCTGCTGAAACAACGGGGGAGCAGCTCGATCAAAGTCATCGATTTCGGCTCGTCGTGTTACAGCCACCAGCGCGTTTACACGTACATACAGTCGAGGTTCTACAGGAGTCCGGAAGTGATTCTCGGTCTTCCCTACGGCACGCCGATCGATATGTGGAGTCTGGGCTGTATCTTAGCCGAGCTGTACACGGGATATCCCCTGTTTCCGGGCGAGGACGAGATAGAACAGCTCGCCTGCATTATGGAGGTCCTCGGTCAACCACCGGAGCACATTATCAATCACGCCACTCGTCGCAGGCTCTTCTTCGGTAAGCTATTAATACCCGCGAGTACTAGAAACTCTGGAAGCAGAAGTGTCTCCACTGAAGATAAAAAACGGTCGATGTGCCGCGCACACGGTAATACTCAGAGAACCGGGTTTAAAATAATTGCAGATCAGAAGGGAAGTCCGCGATGCGTGACAAACAGCAAGGGCAAGAAGAGATGGGTAGGTAGCAAGAACCTCTCGCTGGCACTACGGTGCTCCGACATGCTCTTCGTAAACTTCGTTAGCAGATGCCTCGAGTAAGTTCCTTACAATACGCGGTATTCTAGCGTAGATTTATTATTCGAGAATTATATTATACAAAATCGACTTTGCTATTATATCTTTGAAAATCTAAAGTTCTCAGTTGATAAATCGTTTTATAGAAAATAAAACGATTATAAGTTCTTTATGGTGAATTGGCAAGTTTCTTATTTGTCGAGTATATTTTCTATTAGGTATTGATAATAGATTGTATTATATTATCGAATTATGCAAATTTTATACTAAATGATTCATTACACTACTAGGTGGGATCCAAAGAAGCGTATGACCCCCGACGAGGCGATGCGTCACGAGTGGCTGACTTCGTCGTCGTCTTCGCACGTGAGCTCCTCCTCGTCAGCGATAGCCTCGTCGACGGTGAACGCGAGCGCGAATACGATGACGACGAGCGTCGAGACGCCGCGGGAATCCGCGCATGCTCCGCAGACGGTGAGCGTGACTGTGAGCGCGCCGCGGCAACGGGCAACGACGATGGAGGACCCGCCGTACACTATGTACCGGTTGTACAAGGGACGCAAATACGTGCAGAAAGTCTCCACAGGCACCGACGTCACCGACAACGGCGGCGGCTTGATGGTGAAGAGCAAGCTGAACGGCAGCGCGAGCAGTCACGCCCTGGCGAGCAGCACGCAGACAGCGACGTCGAGGCACGCGTCGACCGGCGACATCGTTGCGAGTCTAGACCCGAATCTCGACGACTCAGGCACGTTCCTGCCGCCGATATTGTGAAGTCGGGTTTGCGCCAGCCACTTCTAAACGCGCTACTCGCGTACCGACGCGATCAACAGGCTCGCTCTGTGCACCGCTGCGAGAAATGCGTAGATGTGTTTATCACTTGACGTACATCAAGAGCGGGTGCAATTGAATAGAAAGCGCGTATAGAACTGGCTGGTCGGTCCGACGTTACCATTTCTCGATGCCAAACGGCTAGTTAAGCGCAAAGTCGCTAGTCTCGGCATGTATCGAGCTGTGAGGCCAAAATGACGATCTGACGACGGGAGAAGAGCGCGTAGGCATGATGAGCAATATAGAGCGATCGCGTGATCCGATTCGCGCGCCCCCGAGGACTCTAGCGATCCAATGTCATTCAGGTAATCGTAATGAACTCGCGCGCGCGCGCATTATCGTAGTTATTCGCGAAAAAACATAAACTTGCTGCCTAAGATGAGGATATTAGCATCGTTAGTGTATACCGATTCACATTTCGACATGGACCATTGTACCTATGTGGTTCAAATGTTTATCTCGCGCCTGTATGAAACTGAAGATATTAACGGGTGATGAAATCTCGGCTGTAGATGTAAAAAAATTACCATTGAAAATTTGTACAGAATTGCGTGGTTTGCCTTGCTGTCGACGAGCCGTGAAAGACGATTCGTCGCCAGGTTGCGTTTTCGACGGTGAAAAAAAGCTCGCACGAATGAACGCAATCGGAAAGTATACTGTATAGCAGCATCATGCTTTAGGTAACTACGCGAGTGCAAGCGGCGCGATGCGATGTACGTATCGTGGCAACGATGTACGATAGAGAAGTGAGGAACTCGAAGCGAAGCATATTATGGTCAAACAACGATTCGTCCGACATTGCAGTGTAACGTCGGGGATTACCATCGAATTACGGTCGCGCCGAGAAGACCTGAGTCGTTCGAGACCTGTGTGTCGCCGACACAAGGTCGCGCGATTAATAACGAAGCGTCAAGGCGAAGAATAACATTAATACGTGAAGCGTGCTCCAGTTTAACGAGGCCTGAGTAGTCTTATTGTGATATTAAACTACCACTGTCTTACTTAGATCTCTCTGATATTAAGAAGTAACGATCACTAATATAATAATTTCAATTTACTATTAATCATTATTTTCTTATTATCTGTAATAATCGCTATATCGTTACTATTTACCGCAAAGATATAGCGGCATACAAGTAACGAGAATTATCATCGATAATGACAGAGTTAACACTACTTATATACGTAGGTATGTACAGATTTTAATTACGCGGTTTTCGAAGTCCCAGAGCAGCAGCAGCAGCATGCTAGTTCATTTACTATGATATACGTAAAAAAAAAACTCCGATAATTTTCGCTAATTTTTCAATGCGCGATTTTCAGTGAATTTTCACGTGTTCCCTATCACCGCTCTTCTGTTATCATTAATCGTCTACGCGACGTAACGCATGCTTTATTACGTCGAAATTGATTAATTAACGTTGATTAACGCCCCGTGAGATTCCTCTCCGCCTTCGCAGTACTACCTATTTACGCATTGCTCGTAGCTTCCTCGCATTAATTAACGATTTATGATTTGACACGCCCTTTCGGAACCATTACGAGCATTTCGCGATATGCAGAGGATTTGACAAGAAACAAAACCTATTGTATAGTATTATATTGTTAGGCTACTTTTATATAGACTTGGTAATTGTTCGATGTGCCCGTACCCATTCTAAACTTTCGCAAGACACGAGCTCGGTAATAATTACATCATCAGAAACGTGAGATGCTCCATCGTTTGCTGCTTTCGAGCTTCCACCACGGAACCGTTATCTTCCGTTTTCGCATGCTTCTCTAATTCTTAAAGGTCCTATTATACGTATGAAACCGTTGAAGGCCCTACTAAAACTTTTAATACGTATTTTATTGCCATGGTTATAAAAATTGGAGCAGATACGTGAACATCCGATACTCGCAAATTATAATCGCGTACAAGAGACTGAAATGAATCATTATTTTATATTGGAAACATGGCGAAATCGTTCCTAATAGTTCGTTCTGCAAAAAATCGATATGTCGCCTTAATTTTATTACATTTTTACAGCGCACTCGTTCAGTTCCTTTATGAATTTATTGTTTGATTCGCGAAAAGTTATCGAACGTCTCACGATGATAATTGAAACGAAATAATGAAACTGGACTTGCCGTCACACAAACGGGGTCCCACTTTAGGTTCCAAAAACTTTTAGAACAATTAATATCGTACCAATCGTAGTGGTATCGCGCGACATAATCGGTGAATGGCCAATAAAACGCGAGCGGAGGTATATTATAATATTAAGAATTACATATAATAAATATATTATTCGTATACGGCGAATCTGCCCGAACGAACGACTGATGAAGTAGCGCATTATTATATATGATACATGATACACGATTCTCATGACTTGTGGCGGGTTCGTAGCGGTCGCTCTCGAGTAATCGCGTCGACGTAGCGACGATCATCACGAAATCTCGGGTGAACATTTCGTTCGATTACTCCAAACGAAAAGAAAAAGAAAAGAGACGAAAGAGAGAAGAAAATTTGACGAGAGAGTAATGTCTATGAGGCGACGATTTCTAGGGAACGAGATATATCAAATTGTGTATAAAATAAAGACGTGACTGTGTGTGCGTGCATGCGTGCGTGCCTGCGCGGGAGACTCGTCTCGGGGAGAGAAAGAGAGTGGAAAAAAAAAGAAACGAGTGTGGCCGTATGGTTATGCACACATATATCTAATTATATAACTATATTATACCATTATACACGTGAAGCGCGGAAACGCGCAAGGGCAAAACGAGTTAAGTCTAGGATACGATAGAGGGACAATTAGAAGGGCGTTCGCGAAGAACACGCGGGATTCCGTCTACGGAGTGCCCGCCCTGCCCTTTTTTTAAAGAAAAAAAAAAAGGCAAAAAACGCCATTCAATTGTACAGTCTTAAGTTTTTAGTTGTGTTCACTATTGTATACAGAGGGATCAAATTATAGTATCTGTATAAACGGGACGGTTGTATTATCTGCGTGACGTGCATCACCACTTATATACAGATCAACACATGCACATTCGGCACGCGTGTGTCGCGCGTACGCCCAAAAGAAACATAACGAGAAGCATGTTCGTACAGCGAAAAACATGCTAGTGATCGGTTTCACCGGCGTCGGTTAACTCGACTCAAACCCGGGGGGGTCTTTGTCTTCTGGAAGAGACAGAGGGATCGCTCAGGCAGAGAAGTGGAGACCGACACCGACGAAGCCGGGACTACGGTGAAAAAAGAAACAAACAAAAAAAAGACAGGGCCTGTAGTACTATTTCGATATCATCCGAGGAACAGCGAAAATCCGCGAAAAACCCACGTCCTTCGACTGAAAGCTTACTCGACTTCGCACCTGGTCAATTCGTCGTTCGCGAATGAATAGTCGTTGCCGTACGCTGGCGATTTCTCCATACGGCGCGGACGGAAAAGGGAGACAATCGCTTTTTCTAGTCCAGGATGTAACGAACGTGCTCCGAACGTACATACACACATCTCACTTGAACGCAATGGAGAGAAAAAAAAAGAGAGAGAGAAAGAGAAGATTTTCTTCTGGCTTCTCAGCGAAAGAACGCTCCGCGCGGCGTATATCCGTTAGATCAATGTGCAACTAATTAATGAGTTTTAACGACGCGATTAAACCCTATCGAATTAAATTAAGTACAATCGTGCGTACGTGACTCTCCTCCCCTTTCCCGCGACGGATATAACGCGTGCGACGAAGAGGACCCTGCGGGGTGTTTATCGCGAAGAGCCACCGTTGCGATGGTCGAGCCTCGTAGATCATCCTAGTAGGACAATCATAGAGTTACGCGTTTGTGTTTAGACGCGCTAGTAAATTTTCATTAGATGATAGAGACGCGAGTGACAGCGTCTAACAAGGGAGTAAGTATCTCTCGTTCGAGACGCTCGCTAATGCGTAAAATGATCCCGTGGGCGCGCATCGTGACGGAGGATCGTTTAGATTATTAAACGACGGCCAACGCGCGCACTTCGCTCTTCTAGGCCCGCAAGAAAGAGATATCGGCACGCAAATCCACGCGGAATTGAAAATATCTCAAGAGCACGGGGAGGAGGAGTGGAGGAAGAACGATTCAGATAAAAATGTGGGAGCGAGGGTTCATAGAGAGTGGATTTGTGAATCTGGCGTTCAATTGCGGATGTCTTGTTATAAACATATAAGTGCGAGTTCGTCAATTTCTGCCCAGACTTAACTATAGCGAACGAGAGAATTGCTAAATAATAAAATGATTATAATGACATTAGTATATATATATACATATACCATATATATATACTGATACGATACTGAAGCATCATCATCTTTTGTATCATTTGTTCGTTTGTTTTTATCTTACTGCGTTTGTCTTTCATTATTAATGCAATACCAAGATGACTCGGTTTCGACTCGGTATCTTGTGTGTAAATATATAACTAATAAAAAAAATATGTATACAAATGCAACGAGGACAAATCTTATCGACGAATCTTCCTTGCACTCCCCTTTTTCAGGATTTCCACATTCTACAGTTAGTTAAGTACCAAATATCAGTGATTTAAATAGTTTATTTAACATACTCGTATTAAATACATCACTTGTATGAGATACAACGCAATAAGCAGACCGGATGAGCAAAAAGGTCTGTCGATATTCAGAACCATTATTTAAATTTAAAACGATAAATTATTTCGCTGCTAATTTTAATTAGTGAAAATAGATGCGAGTTCTGAATACAGACTACGAAGAACGCTAGGAGTGTATAAAAAATGAAAAAAAGGATGAGTAAGTAACGAACCTCTTTGGAAAATGACAGTTTTAGAGAGACAGAAGGCACAGGATGATTTAACATTATATGTATGTACTTCTTGGCGACGTATGCATTCGTACTGAATCTGTGAATTCGCCTTCTAACGACAGATGGATGCTACACACACATATTCTTCTAATGAAAATATAAGATCGATGACTGATTTTAAATAACTGTCGGAGATCGTTGCATGCACGACAATATAGATAGATATATATATGAATACCACAGCATATAATGTAGTCAATAATCTCGAAGTAAATCTTCCAACGCTTTTGTTTCGATGCTACCTCCGCCTCTCTCCCTTTTGGGTTTTTCTTTTCTCTTTTTTCTCTTCCTTCAATTGCTTTTGCTTCTCTCTAAAACATAAAATTATATTTAAAGCTTTATATATTTATCATATACATATAAATAGGCTTTTTAGTGCATTAACGCTGCGATTATTGTCCTACCTGTCTTCCTTGTCCTTCTCCTTCTTCTTCTGGCTCTCCAGCTTGGCTTTTTCTCTCTTTTCTCTCTCCTGCTGTACGATAGTAGCTGCGTTCAAGTTCTTTTCGATTCCACAGTCTCCGCCGTTTGCTCCATCCTCTTCCTTGTCTCCCTCGCTATTGTCTTCGTCAGACATTTGACTGTATTGCGCTAGTATAGCCTCCCGTATTCGTTTCTCCTCCTCCGTGTAGCTCCTCTGCGTCGTCGTGGGTAGACTCTGCGACTCCAGCATCTTTGCCAGTCTGACATCGACGTCTTCCGTCGGTGCAGGCGCCCCGGCCACTTCCGCAGCTGGCTGCCACTCTGCCCACGCGCTTAAGATTTCTGCTACATGACTGCTAATATCATCCTCCTGCAACGAAAGAATCCTCCTGCAGCTCTGTATCATAAAGTATATTACGTAATCTTATGCAAGAGTGTAGAGATAAGAATTAATGAGTATTCCTGGCGTATCTATGAATCAAAAATTGAGAGAATTAAGATTTGAAGGTCTCATCGAAAATTAATATACAGAGTCAACGTGAGCTTCATTTCTCTTATGATCTTTGAATCCTGACGGGTCTGTCCGGGACTCTTGGCGAACGAAAACGACAGAGGACAGTTACTCCGCGAGACGAAGCGACCGGGATATGCGCGCACGCGGGTAAAGACTCGCCGGTAGGAGAGCGTACGGGAGGCAGAGACACGTACTTTCGAAGCACGACCTCGCGGTTTCTATTTCCGACCGGCTGACGATGCGGCGGCCGCGCCGCACGCGCGCGCGCGCCTTCTAACCTCAACGCTCGGCGCCGCGCGGGTCCCACTCACCGTCACGCCCGCGAGGATGCTCTCGAGCGCCTCGGTCTTCTCGTCCTCGGACTCGTCGCCCTCGAGGATACCCCTGATGTACGTGCCGAAGACACCCTCGTCCGTTTTGAGCGCCTGCAGCTTCCTGCTGAGCCAGGCGTCGAACGAATTGGCCGCGACCGCCATCGTTCTCACTCGTCCGGTCCGGCGTGTGCGTTCACGCGACTTGAACTTTTCACCGGCCGCCTCTTCGCGCGCGCCGAATGGCGAGGGTAGGAAGGAAGGAAGGACCGCAGCGTCGCCGCGATGACGCCCCGCCGTCCGGGCAGTCACATCTTTCGACGTTGGACGCGACACGCCGGCGACCGGGCTCGGTCATCTCCACGACGGCGCGGCCATCGTCGCCAAGCGCCTTCGAGCTTTCCGTCCGTTCCTTTCCTCCGCGCGTAGATCCTCGAACCGCCGTAAGACACACGTATATACCGGGCCCGATGCCGCGCGTGTTGTTACGCACGACGACGTCGCGAATGTCGCAGCAGGCACCGTTTCTGGAGCGCATTTTCGGAGCGTGCGCACCTTAACACCTTACGCACCGCAACTGCGCGCGCGTTGCGTTAGGGCCAAAGCACATAACATGGCGTAGCGATATACGACGGTCGTAGTTCTCGACCTGACAAATCAAGATACGCCAAAGCTTGTGCGTTACTTACGTCCACGACTACGACTGTCATATGTGCTTTGGCCCTTACTTGCGTTGTTGGTTGTTGGCCGCATGGCGACGTAGATTTTTCTCGCGCTGTGGACGGCGAAAGAGAGTTTCCAACAGCTAAATGCCCTTGAGATCGTAACTGGTACTTATTGGTGTAGAAAATAGAGGAATTTATCACCAAAATCTGATTAGCTTGGTCGACGATTAATTTTGTTGAGTAATTTCCAATTCATTAACATGGCCCCGAATTGTTAATTTTCTATCGTTTGACACTATGGGAGGAAAATTTAGATTGAGAGTGACGAATTGTATACTGTATGCAGTTACATACAAATCTTACTTGGAGCAATTCCATTGATTAAGTTAACCCTAGAAAGTCACATTAATTAATTCCTGCATGAGGCCATAGATTATAGAGAGAAATTAGAGTGATTAGGCATTTCTTATCCATCTGATATAGATAGATAATTAAAAGAAATTAGAATAAGACTCCTTACCCTACCAATGTGCATAATTGAAAGAAAGTGGTAAGCTGACGTACAAAGATTATACGAGTTCCCCCAAACGAAAAATGTGAAATAGAATTGTTAAAAAAAAACTAAATTTGGATAGAGTTAAATACCATATAAAAAAGATTAATTCCTGCGAGTCCCGACTCTCCTCAACCATGAATGTATTACACCCAACTACTTTCAACTTTCAACTATCAATATAATTCATCGGAAAGTGAATATTTTTGAACTTTTTTTTTTATTTAAATTTGAGAATGACAGGAACGCGCCTGTGTCATTGGAGTTATAATTGACATTAAAAAAAAAGTTAATTTCGGAAAAAGCCCGAATAGAAATTTCTGAACCCCAAAAACACTATTTGCTTAAAAAAATTAGTTTTTTAAACACCGTATTGTACAAAATAATGGTTTATTAAAGATAAAGTAGGAAAAGATAGCCTTATTTTTTTATCAGTTCGGTATGAAGTGCGCTGTTAGCGTTTAAGGAGGATTATCTATTCAATTGCTATTGAAATCGCTAATAAAATTACTGTTAAGGGGATCCTAAAGCCGTCTGTAATACCGGCTTTTTTTCTTAGCACTAATCTTTTAATTGACTTTATAGAAATGCAAAATTCTGGTCTAGAATTAAAGTACGCATCAAAATCTAGGTCATGGTGGTCAAATTTATATCGAAAACGAAAAAAAATTAATATTTTTGTTAATTTTTGGTATACGTGACGACAATATTTGCTTTGTACAAAAATTCCACGATAAATATCCACAAAATTAGACCGGCATGACCTAGGGACAACATTTAAGAACAATATCGTGCAATTAGATCTAAGATTGAAAACCTAGAAAAAAAGATTACTTTATATAACTTTTATATGTGCAAAAGCACATTCAGGTTGACAGGATAAGCAATATTGCGTGTGGCAAGAGATGGCGCAGTAATCGAACAAAGACAGATGCCTCTCGTTAGACAAGGACAGATATAGATATATGACAAGAAAACAGAATCAGAAATGTTGACATTACCGACGTCGAGGAAGTTCAGCCTTCACTTTAGGATCCCCTTAAAAATATCGGTTTTTAACCAAATTACTGTCGTTATTAAAATATGCAAATCCAACGCTCTCTATATTCCTTTCCACAATCCTTCCTCGCGATTATTTCACTTTAAAGCCCATCGCATAACAATCGTGTAGCGTAAAAGAAAAGGCAAGAGAAAAAAGAAACGAGCGATTCTCGATTTCAAAACGGCCGCCGCGTTATCATCAGATGATCGCGGCCGCGCGACTTCACGCCGCTCGCAGCGACCCGCCGCGGCGCAGCGCGCTAGTGTTCCCTTCTAGCCTAGCGAATGTGTCGTCCCGTTCGTCGTCACGGACGTATTTCCCGTAGAATATGAACGTGATCGCGAAATCGACAACCCTCGCGCCGTTCCTTCGGGCGACGGCGACCGCCGTCTCGAACGGAGGGATACCGGTGGCCGCGACCGGTAAGGTTCACAAGCCGAAGATTGCCGTTCCTCCTTCCGTCAGACGGACACTCCAGCAGACCACCTATCAGGTTCTTCTTACCGGACCTACGTGCGTAAGCTCGGGAGTCGCAGGTGCGTCCGTATTATCAGTCCGTTCTGCGCCACGAATTTGTCCCGTGAATGTCGCATCCCTCTCGGCATTAAATCGACCCGATATTCGCGCTATTCGCGATTATATAATCGATATGCGCACAGTCGCGCACTTTGCAGGTCGCTGCGCTATCAGTCGAGCTTCAGGCCCGTAAAGGTACTCCAGAATAGCCTGCACTGACGTTGTAGATACGAATTAATAAATGAAAATCAATAGAAGATCCTGATAGGCTCCTTCCTACATCCTCCCCTGAAGCATTAATATAATCTGGATTTGTCTATTGCAGCCAGTACGCAGGTGCATCAGCGACGTTTGGCACACACCGACATTCAGTGGCCAGACTTCTCCCATTATCGCAAAGATGAAGTGCAAGATCCAAACGCAAAGTCACGGGACAGTGCGTCGTCCCGAAAGGGTGTCTCCTATCTTGTCGCAGCTGGCAAGTACATGGAAGATGTCTAGGGGTTGAGAAAATTACAAAAGTGAGAAAATTCATTGAGTATCTATGACTTCATTTGTCGAAATCTAATAAATCTGTTCACTTTTGTAATTTTTACCTCGTTTCAAGACACACAATCGACCATTCGATACATTTTAAATGTGACAAGTCGCTAACTAAATCATCTTCGATTTTGTGTATGCAGGTGGTTCCGTGGCAGGTGTCTATGGCGCGAAAGTCATAGTGCTCAACCTCGTTGGGATGCTGAGCGCATCAGCCGACGTACTCGCCATGTCGAAAATCGAGATAAAGCTCGACAGTATCCCCGAGGGCAAGAGCGCTGTCTTCAAGTGGCGCGGAAAGCCCCTGTTTGTGCGACACAGGTAATTTGAAATTACCGATGCTTGATGATTTACCGCTGTAAGAAGACGTTTTTGTACTTTATAACGTGATTATCATCTTCTATTTACAGAGGGGAAGCAGAAATCGCGACGGAAGGCAAGGTGGACGTTGCGAGTCTCCGCGATCCGGAAGAGGACAGCGCTCGCGTGAAGGATCCCAAGTGGCTGGTCGTTCTAGGCGTTTGCACGCACCTGGGATGCGTGCCCATCGCTAACGCGGGAGATTGGGGCGGTTATTATTGCCCGTGCCACGGGTCCCACTACGACGCCAGCGGTAGGATTAGAAAGGGACCGGCCCCGCTGAACCTCGAAGTACCACCCTACGAGTTCGTCGAAGGCAACGTGCTCGTTGTTGGTTAATGACTATTTGCGATATCTGTAGTCAAGTAATAAAATAATTTATGTATGATAAGATGCTCCGTGGGCACACCTGCGCAACACCTTGTTAGCAACGCAAAGAAATTGGAGAAATGTGTGGTTTTGTATATTTCTTGAAACTTTATTGGAGAGCCTTCATTCGAACATCCGCTGATACATCCGCTGTGTCGGATTTAGAATAAATGTTAAGTGAAAATATCTTTTGTGAAGCTTAATTGCTCTTACCAGCGTACAGCTGTAAACTAGCGTTACAGTTTTACATATATCAATGCGACGTGCGTACAACTTTTCGGGAAAGCAACGTCAGTTCGCGGACGAATTCGCCATTGCGTCCGGAGAGAAGCCCCGTATAAATGTAATTTCGTGTAAATCCTACGCAACCCCCATGCGTCCCAGCTACAACCGCGGCTGTAACTCGAGTTACAGGCAGGGGGTAGGGGGTAGGGGGTTGCGGCGATACCGCCGCTTCCGCGAGGAGGCGCCAGCGGTCGACGGCGCGGCCGAAATCCCTGCTGCCGGCGAGCGGCGAGGGGGCCGCGAAGCGCGGCGACAATCGTCATTGCAATCGCCGGGCGATCGCTGCCGGTCTCACCTCGATCGCTCTCGTCGCTGCTGGCAGCGTACGGAGAAATCGCGCGCGGCGTGATCAATAGTCATTATCGCTCGCGGCCCGTGTTTTCGTGCCGTTTACGAGTTTGGAGTAATTGGAGTTGGCCGCGTTTTCGCCGGCCGGCGCGCCGCGCCGTCACTTATACTTGCCATTGTTCGCCGAGTTATATATTACGTATATAACACCGCGTATATATTACGTCCGCGCGCGCGTTAACCCCCTCGCCGACCAGCTGACTCTCCCACCCTCCGTCTCTCTTCTGTCTCTCTTCTGTTTCTCTCTTTCTCTCCTCCCGGAACTGACACTCGGAACCGCCGCCGGCGACGCATCGCCGACGATGTATTGTCCGGTCGCGCGCCGTCAGCGAGCCGCGCCGCTCCGCGAAAGGGTTGAAAGCCGAGGGTAGGAGAAGGTCGTCGTCGCGGGAACAAGCGAGAAGGAAACGCAAGGAATTGAAGCGCGCCGCAATTGCCGGTGAGTAGCAAATGTATCGCGATGTATCGTCAAAAATTCTTTGTATCGCTCATCAAATTTAGCGAAAACTTATTAATCTTTTTATTTTTTTAAGCGGAATTCGAGAAATCGCGAATTGCCGAGACGGTCGTATGATTACGGGCATTGACAGGTACACGACGATAGAACATATACTCGCGAAATAGACGTCTAATACGTTTCTGCTCGTGTATCAGATCATTTTCATATCGCGAGGAATTTATTTCGATATTTAAACGCATAACGCGACTCGAATAACATCTGTTTTTTTTTTCTTTTTCACGACGCGCGATAAACAGGAGTGCCTTACGCGTATCTTTTCAGCCGCGAATATTCCTCAAAACGCGATAACTTTTCGGACGGCTTTTGTACTTTATTCCTAATTCAATTTGACGCGCCAGGCGGTTGCTCCAGTTTTTGCAAGTTTCTACAGCGTCGGAATAAACTTCTTGCCTTCGTCCCAGGGAATATCTCCTTTTTTTCCTCGGGGGGGGGGGGGGGGGGGTACATGGAACGTCGCTTAGACTGCTCCGCGGTGTTGATATCGCATTCTTTTCCGTGGAATTTCATGCGCGCTCCGAAAGCCGGCACAGGCACGCGCACCCGCTACGTCGACAACAAATCACGAAAGCGGCAATAACAATCGATGACAGACAATTCTTCCCTCGTTTGCACTTTTTCGATAATATAATATTAATAACGTTTGTTTCTTTATTTTAATCAGGAGCTTAATTAATTAATTCTTTGCCGGTCTGCTTGCATTTCTGTAGATATACATCGTTTCTTTTTTCTATATCTCGAAATAAAGTTTTTCTCGTATATAGCTTTTTGTTAATACTTGATACTATAAAGCTTATTTTAGGGACGTACATACCGATAAAGACATATCGCAAGGCTTATTTTTAAGCGTCGTCTACAGTGGCAGCAGAAGTATGCAGTAAGACGTAAGCGGTAAGTTATTGACCAACCACAGTCGATTATTCTTGAATTGTAAAAATCCCATTAGTCAATAGGTGCTTTCCATTTACATCAAAACTCAGATAATTCTCACTTGTGACGTCGTTCTATCCTTTTTGGCAATTAATGAATAATAAAGACAGAATGACATCACAAGTGAGAATTATCTGAGTTTTGATGTAAATGGAAAGCAACTAATAACTTACTGCTTACGTCTTACTGTATGCTCCTGCTGCCATTGTGGACGACGCTTTAGAGATGCGACGTTCATCCGCGCGCTAAGCTCTGTGAATTTGGAAATTGTCGAATCGATGATACATCGCACTTATATTTCAAATACAGCAAGCAGCGTCCTGATAATAATAACCGTTCAATGAGCCCCGCGAGTTTTTTACACCAGTTATACGTTTCGCACATTTCATCCCTTGTTTGGTAACACAGGTATCGGCACAAGCGCGCTCGAGCCGGGGGGGGGGGGGCGCATGTGTTTGTAATGTATCTGCACGTCTGCAGATCATCCAACAATAATTTCCGTACACGTGAGCCGTGCTTTGCATCCTGATAACGGTTCGCGAAAACAACCACCGCACTGCCGCTCCTCGCAACACTTCGGGGCTTCGTGCGCGCTCTGACCTTTATATTTCTATTTACGTAAATAAAGACATTGTTCATCGTCGGTTTTATGCCGTGCGGCACGTTGATGCATATTCAAAATTCACGCGAGGAGCAGTCGGAGTCGGACCAATGATCAATACACCTCGATCGGCCAGCACGTCAGGTTCGTAAAGCTTCTTTTAAAGTGGAACGAGAAAAAACGCTCTGGACGGTGATAAGAGACGTTCGTAAAATTCGCATTAACACTGGCTTAACAGAACAGTGGCGTTTCGTGAAAAATATTAGCATACTCGATAGCAGACTCTCAATCACGGCGGAAATCAGGGAAGCACAAAGGTGAGATTGTATACAATATTATCATAAAAAAGTCAGAGATATAACGGAAGTATATGATACTCGTTCGCGTGTCCCGATATTTTTCCCCCATCGATCAATTGTCCAAAATGCGTGCTCTCTTTCGGCGATCTCGCCCGTTCGTCCTTCTCGGCCGCCCCTCGCGCAACCTTGTTCTGGCCGAGACTGTACTCGTTGTTCACAAAGACGATCGTTACCCACCCCGGGTGAGGATCTCCAAGAAAGTTGCAAGTGCAAAGGCTGCGAGCGGGCACGAGTTGCGATGCAAATACCGTCGGGTTCCTGGCATTCTAATTCTTATGCGTCAGCGAGCGAGAAAACGCGACCGAGAGTGCGGCGCGCGCGCGCGCGCACGGAAGAAGGGAGCTGCTCGCTGTCTTCTCTCGCAGGATCCAGTTTCCCTTTTTCGGTTTTTCTCTCTCTTTCTCCCTTTCTGCCTCACCTCTCGCCTCCGACGGCGCAGGACGAGACTTCTCTTTGCTGCTTTGTGCCCTGCATCCACCGAGCGCACTCGTTCTCCCTCCTGCGCGCGCGTATGCGTGTGCGTATATTCGTGCGCGCACGCGAAATTGCGTGCCGTCGTAACGAGAGAAAGAAAGACGGAAAGAGAGGGAGAGAAAGAGAGAGAGAGAGAGAAAGAGAGAACGGAACCCCGCCGCAACACGCGGGCCTTCACGCTGGAGGAGAATCAATAGATGTGCGTTGCATCTTGCCCCTCCTCGTCCCCCCGCGGCCCCCTCTTCACGCGTTTTCGGCTGCCACCCTTCTGCCACTGACTCCGACCTTCGCACGCGGGCGCGTACTTCGCCGTGTACTTCGCGAGCAGCGATTTACGATTTACGAGGCATGCCGGCGACCCTAGATTCGCGAACGTTATTAATGCAAGGAATACGCGGAAGAATCTCAAAATCGACGAAACGTACGAAAGATTTCGTGTAGGTGTGCGATGCACTTTTTATCATGTTATTCGTCTAACTTTGCGCTCGATATGAAATGCGAAATGTTACCTTCCTTATCGAATCCGTATTCTTGCGAGATTGAATTTCTTATAATTTATGTGGATAAGAAGCGAGATAGAGGAACTGTATTTTTTTTCTCTCGTTTCGCGTCAATGAATCGATATGGGCGTTATCCGTGAAAGGTCGAAAGTTCATCAGCGGCTAAATCTACTCGTGCGAGCTAATTTATTAGCTCGCACGTACTTTCCGCTACGCCTCGATGGACCGTACGCCCTTTTGTACGCTTTTTGTAACTTTTCCGTAACCCGTTCGCGTTACCGGTTTTGTCTACCGTGTCGTTGCGTTTCGTACGCCATATTAGCCACCCTAGCTTGCCTACACCGTCGCGCGCGCGCGATCCTATCGTCTAGGAACTTGGCGCATAAATCAAGATACGGTGGCGGATAAAGGCCAATTGCCACGTAGTCCTAGAAAATGGTATAATTTGGTATGTACGCTCGGCTCGTATTTTCGACGTCGAACTTCCCGCGGCCGCTTCGATTGCCCGTAAAGATATCTGTGTGAATGTCAGCCGCCCTTTTTGACCGCCTACTGAATTATTTACAGCGATGATTGTCGCTAAGAAAGCACACACCTTTCGCCGGCTCTATGCCGATACAAATGTAATTAGGAAGGGTTAAATTAAGGAATATATCTGTTACATGTTTCCTGGATGGTTTCCCAAAATCTATTAATTGTAAGACCAACGGAATCGAAGTTTCTCAGAAGAACGTTTTCTGATGACTTTCTTTGCGACTTTCATTGTTTATACATAAAAATATTGGTTACGCGTTAGTGCTGCATTTTTCATATCGGCATAAAGTTCGAGCGTCAAGGAGGTGAATTATTCATCGTCTGGGGCGAAAGCTGTGGGAAAACTGTTCTTGAAATTTCTCTCCTCCGTTAAATCATACGCCCCGGCCTTCATTTTCAGCTCTGTGACGACAGAGATCGAATATCCCCTGCGTCTTCGTGAGGGAAAGACCGGAGTCGTTGCGGTATCTACTGTCTTGCTATATTACGCAACGACGTGCGACATCCCTCGAGGAGAAATAATAGCGCCGCAAATAACGGCCGTTGCCTTCTTTTCGTCGCATCGTCGCTGGGCGACGAAAGGAGACCCTCGACTTTAAGCGCCGCGACGCTGCGTGCATCGCGTCGCGCGCGTTAGATAGATACCCGAAAGTAGCGACAAGGTTTGGAGGTCGATAGGACGGGAGCGAGATCGAAAGCGAGACCGCGAAGGGAAAGAGGCGAAAGCGAGAGCGCGCGGGGTAATCGTAATCATAAACACACAACCCGGCGCAGCGTGGGCGAAAGAGGGAGGAGGAGAAGAGAGAGAGAGAGAGAGGAGGGAAAACGGAGTTCCCTCTGGATGAAAGGGAAAGGAAGGGAGCGAGGGTGGAAGGATAAGTGAGAGTGAAGGGGGGCGGGGGCGGCATAAGGGGGCGCGTAGAGAGGGCGGTGGGCGAGTGAGAGGCGCAGGTGAAAGTGAAGCGAAGGTGGTCGAGTTAGAGCGGCAGCATTCGGGGAGGGTGAAAGGAGGTTAATGATTAGTTCTTCCGAGGTCGGGGGCTGTTGCCGGGTGCAGGTTGCTTGGCTCTTCCCCTTGGCCGCCCTTTTCCTCCCCCTTTCTCCTTCGCATCATCATCCTCCTTCTCCTTCCTCTCGCTTCCTGCCGCCATTCCGTGTTTTCCCCTCTCGCGCCGATATCTCCTCCTTTCCCCTCGGTCCCTTTATCATTCTCTTCAACCCCCTTCGTGGCTCTCGGCCATTCTGCCAACCTCCAAAAATTCAGACCCCCCCCCCACCACCACTATCGCTGAAGCTACGCACGCACGACGAAGTTTGAAGGCTTGCAAGGTTGTTCTCCCCTCCATCCCGGGTTGATCTCAGGAACGTGTCGATTCTTTATGGGGCCATCCTAGAAGCCGCGGAGTATATATGTGTGTGTGTATATATATGTGTGCGTTTGAAGAATTTCTATTTTGGCAGGAATCTTATCGGTATTTGAGATTTTCTTGGGTTCGAAAGGCGCTGCATTCGTGACATTTTTCCTGTTATTTTGATGGATTCCGATAATGGACCAATTATCGATCGTCACACAAACGTTATATACGTGTATTTTTCTATTACATTACGAATCCGCGTTGAAGTGAACTTTGAACCTGTTGACGTTTCCTACGAGGACATTTCTATTTTCATTGTTCGGCATTATCACTTACCGCAGCATATAGTTAAAAGTTAAAATATACTCTTACGCTATTAAAAGCTTCTCGATTATGCGCATTATTATAGGCTCGAGGTAAAAATATTACGCGTTCGTATTACGTCGGCGTAGGTCGGCGCGCTGCATAATGTAGCAAGCGAGTCTTATATCGATCCCGAAATTGGTGGCATCTTCACGCTCGAGAGAGGACGCATTCAGAGTCACCTGCCTAATCTGACTAACAAATTTTATGCAGGGGACAAGTGCCGTGTACATATACTGATATACACCGACCTCCAATCTTAATGATTAGAACGCGGCTGCTTTCTAACGCTTTCCTCGAGCGCGTTAGAAAGATTTTGTAAAGCTCAGTCCGTGTTCATGTACGATGATTTCGAATGCAGGTGCACGACCCTTCGCGTCGTTAAGAACGGTCGGCCGTAACCACCGCCGCGCATAAATATTGAATTCAAGCCAACCAAAGCTCATTTTATGAAAATTCATGTTAGGGTCCCCGTACCGTAAGAAGATAATTGCAAATTATCATCCTGAGTTTTGATGATTGATAAAAGAAATTTTTTTCCAAATCTCGGTTTTTTTAGGCGAAATTTCTATTCATTCGCGCAATTAAAATTACGCTTAAAATAAGCTTGAATAGGTCTATATTTATATCTACGGAAATCATCTATGCGACATTTAAAGTAACTAATAGAAACACGTCTGTTTATTTTTATGGCATTTTATATACGCTCGAATTTTTTAAGTTTTCCCCTCGAGCATAAACTCTGTTTACTTGCACCACGACTTCGCCAGTGAATCAATCAACCGCGATCGACGTGGTGTATTTCAGCGTTTTTACCGTCCCACATGATGCTCTTCGGCATTTTCTGCTGCGTCCATTACGTAGCAACGAGCTTATTTTGTCGATTCCTCGGCGGCGCCGCCGCGTCCGATGCTTCCGTTCTTCGTTATCCGGTAGCCGGTAGTTAAATTATTTTATCGATTGCGCGAAAGAATTTCTCTTCTCCCTTGCGAGAGAGCGAAAGAGAAAGTAGAAGAAGAGAAAAAAAGTAGAAGGCGAGGCAGAAAGGTTCGCCGTGGCCGCTCGCCACCCCTTGCAGCGTCAGCCCTGGCTCCCTAACGGCCTCCGAGGACTTTCCAGCGAAAGTGATGGCCGTGGCTGCGTAGGAAGGGCGCCGGGAGAACGATGCGAGGGTGGCAGTGGCGCGGTGGTGGTCCGTGTTCTCAGCTCTCCCGCGGGAGGAGAGGGGGGTTGGCAGAATCGTCGTTGACGGAGGGGTTGGTCGGCCGCGAGGGAGGTCGACTTCGGAGGACGGTAGGAACGGTAGGAAGGGCGATACGATAGCGAAACCAGCGCGCGAGGGTTGACGGGGGTGGATGCGAGGGCGGGGGGGAGGATAACGCCGGTAACCTTGCAACCCTCTTGCGTACGCGCGCGCTCGAGGAAGGGGAAAAGAGACTGGAATCCCGCGGCCGCTGGAGGGGTGGCTGCCGGCCGCGGGCTTGCGAAGGCAGTCGGGGGTGCAGTCGCGCACCAGGGTGGCAGTGACGGGCGTGACGTAGTCGGAGGAGGATGTACGCCCCTGTTGGCGAGGGCCCCAGCAACCAACGACCATCCCTGGTCAATCCATGGTGGCTTCATCCGCCAGGTACGGCCGACCAGTTGTTGCTGTTATTGTTGTCGTTATTGTGTCGTGCCTCCTCTGTACCTGTCGCGTTATCGACAGGTCGGGCGTCGATGTCGTTTCGGGAATCTTTCGTGGGGATACTTGTTTGTTTTGATCGCGAATCGCGTGATCGATGCGTGTGGGGCGTGGGAAGTCGCGGGGGGGGGAGGGGGCGACTTTGAACTTGAGTCTCAGTTGTAGCGATGCTATACAGGGAGGAAGGATGTAAAGCTTGCTCGCGAATGCGACTACATGGTGTGAAATAGTGAATTTTTATAGATAGCGGCTTATGGTTGGTGAAACGATCGGGACGATTTGGTTTTAATATGTCAGTGGAAAAGAAAATTGTCAACTCGCGACGATTTTCGACGAAATAAATTGTTTTTCATAAGTTGTGTTTTAATTGTGTTCTGTCTGTGTTTCTCATTTAGTTCATTTTATTTTTATTGTGAACATTATAGGGACTAAAAATATTTACCCACGTTAATTGTTCTAAACATTTTTATTTAACATTTTGCACTGCACTGTGCAGCTTGTAATATGAGTATTTGTTAGAGCAACTATGACTTTTTATTCGCAGCAGCGATCGAATAAATATGAAATTTTGGCGCAACAATACATAATTATCATATATTCCAGCCTCATAATTATCATACAATAAATTATATAACTCTAATATCCCTATTCTCTCAAATGTATTCTTAAAATATATCTACCTCAAAATTTATATTAGGCTGTTGAAACTCGCTATTCTAATTAATATTTAAGCGCTCACAATATTCTCACGGTAATATTGTTTTTCGCTGTTAATGCTCTGTGTATAACACTATAACTATTTCGGTTAAATTACAGTTTGCGCGCTCGTTGAATTGCCGGCCATTATTACGCGCACATACCGTGATTTCACCGCTTCCTTTGTTTCTGCCTCTGTAAAGTGCGTGCACGTGCAACGCAGCAGCAGCAAGCAGCACGTCGTCGTACGTGCATTATGCGCGTAGCGGTATCTCGACGGAAGTCGCGTTTATTTCATGGCGTCATAAAAACGGATCGTACATTCTGCTTCTTCCACCTAATTTCCCTCCCCGGTGTCGTCTGCGGCTTCGAAAAAACGCGCGTAGCTCCCGCGGGGCGGAACCTCCCGCTAACGACCTCCATTCGGGAAATTTATTGCGTTGCCGCGTTCGCCTTACACGACGACTAGAAAAACCATTCCTCCGCAACACCGACCGCACGAAAAAGTCAACGCGACTTCCGCGTACGCGACGATTTTCGGGACCGTTTACTCGATGCTTCTTACTGAACGAGCCTTTCGAACAAAGCTCTCAGTGCGGGCTTATTCCATAACTCTTAATGACAGTTTTGTTATCGTTATATTTGCGTTGCGCAGATATTATATATGGTAAAAAAGTTGCGCAACGACAATATAACGATAACGAAACTGTCGTTATAAGAGTTACAGAATAGGCCCACTGTATACTATGTATGTACTGAGACAACCGGGCTAGAAGAAAATTCTCGTCGAAACAATCTTTGCACCTTAGAGATTCTTTAGCTATCGGATTCCTTTCTGAAATTATATTGAGACCGTAACAATCGCGAAAAAGCGTAACAGCCGCGCCGTATCTATGAAAGAGCGAGGTACATTCAATTTGCTGACGACAAAGGTTCCGGGGAAGGAAACGCATTCTGGAAGCTTCACTTTCCACCCACACTGAGAAAAAAAATTTATTTCGTCTAATTAAAATATCTAGTCCGATACGTTCAACTAAACATTAGTTAAATTAACTAATTTTTGATTAAAAATATTGATGATTGACACGGGAATGAACTTTACCTTTTTTAGTGCAACTTAATTGTTAAGTTAACCATTGGATCAACAACTGTACAAATTTAGTCCGTACAACCAATTTTTTTTTCTCAGTGTACGAATCGGGGAACGATGTGCATCGGAGGAGGACATCGCTGATCTTGTGACGATCAAGTCCGCTAGTAGGAGCATACTGTTAAGTCGGCCCAATACGTAGGGCCACCGGCGGGAGGAACGAGCCCGCGAAAGAAAGAGAAAAAGAGGGGAAGTCGAGAACGAGCCGGACATAACCCGTAGAACAGTCCAATTCAGATCGTGCTTCGCGCTGGGCGTTTTCGGCGCGCACGCATCATTCGCGCTCCAGTACGACTTGGGGAAGGATAGTATCGTCCTCTCGGGATGATTGACATTGATTTCGCGTCCGCGCTGTGGCCATCACGTTGATTGTCGTAGTCGTAGCAAGTGGTTACGGTTGTTGCACTTCCCCGCGCATCTTCCTGCTTACCGTTCTTGTGAATGAGTCACAGTGATTCGCGCGCGCGTCGACGATTGCTCTTCCCGAGAGACGATACGCAAGCATGATCGTCGCGGCGAGAACGCATCCCTGGACGCGTTGCACCGAAGATTCGTGAGGCTGTAGTTACGGTGAGGGTGTTTCTTTCTTTTTTTCATTCCTTTGCGTATACTCGATGGGGCACAAAGCGATTTTAATTATCAATTGCGAATTAATTGTTTGCTGATAAATCACCGAAACGTTCGGAATATCGAAACGCGACGTCGAACCTTCGCTGCCAGCGGCATTTCTCGTTATCTCAAGGCGTGAGAGGCAAAGTTTTACGAGATATAAAAGTTGCAAGCTGCACGCAGATCGTCCCTAGAGACCGTCAATATCGACGCCCGATCCTTGATTATTCGTCGCCGGCAAAAATGCGCTTACATCATCGCGCCTGATTGAAATGGATCTGCGATGATGATCCGCGAGAAAAACATCGCGTTATTTTACCTCCATCGGCGAACGCGTCAACCTTTTCTTTCGCGGCTAGATTTCATTTTAAAACATATTATATTACGCGCTGACAACCTGTTATCTCAAGCTAGTCTCGGAGAGACATTGACCTCCAAATTAGTTTTCGCTGCGCCTCGGCCCAATTAGCTTGCGGTGATGTATTAGCTGTCTATATCTGTCTAGCCTATATAGATTCCGAGTTCGCCATCATGGCAGCTTCCTCAATAGCAAATATAAGCCTTTATATATAGGAATAGGTAATAACGAAACGCGTATTATACTACTGTTTTCCTAAAATAATGGACGGGGCAATTCAATTTGTACAATCCTTTCAACGTCCTTTCCTAAGGGGGGGATACGCGAATGAAATGAAATCAGAGCGAAATTACGTATTGTCTTGATAATCCACGCGAGTTATCTTTTACTGTTGAAACAGAGAACACACATCTCCCTCCTCCCTTTACTCGAACCGTTCTATTATCGTCGTCAAACGTATTTGCGCTTCTCGCTCTGGCATTTTCATCGGGCTAACCAACCCTTTGGGTGCGCTTCCTCAGACGATTACTGCCGGGATTCATGCAAATATCTCTTCCTCCTTCACCTCTCGTTCCTATCTTCGGTCGAAGGCAGGATGCTGTGGCCCTAGCAGAGACGGCTACAGTATCGAACATTTCTTTCCGAAGCAGTCTCTCCGCAGAATTTACTTTCTACGACTTTGACCCCTGTTCGTTTCCCAACTTTAATTTAGACGCGGCGATACTTTCTTCTTATTTACGTTTCAGTGTAAACCGTAATTCCGGTGTGAAGTATAAATTTTCGTTAATTGGGTAGATTGGATTGGCGAGCTTAATGAAAACGCACGTTTTTAATGGATACAGGAGCATCGGTGCATTCGATGTCGCAAGCGTAGCTATAATGTATGAAAGAATTAAGACTAGGAACTCCCATCTATCTGTACGATTAAATTGTCGCTCATATCCCCCATACGCGACTTCAATTTGGCCGTAATAACGGCGGCACTTCCTATGAAAGCGCTAGCGCGCTCTCAAAGCGCATTGAGCGTATCAAGCACGCGGCGCTGCTTACAATCGAATCGAATCGAATCGAATCGGGATAGGCCCCGTATTCCAGTAACGCATTAATAACGGTTTCCTTCGTGGAAGAGAGAGAGAAAAAGAAAGATGAAACCAACGACGACTTTCTCCTATTATCTATATCGCGTATATAAAAGGCGATTGCGCTTATTGCTAAAAGGCGCTCCACAAAAAATAGCATTCGCCGAATCAGGCGCCGTTTGTGTTTTTTTCGTCGAGCCACAATACGCGCTTTTCATGTAGGAGACCTCCCCTCCCCCCGCCCTCTCCTCGTTTGCGTTAACTCGACATCACGACGGTCATTCTTTTCACTCGCCACCAGGCAATACCATCGTCGACCTTATCGCGTTCAACCATCCCCGTGACGAAGGCAAACGACGCTACTCGGACCACATCGCTCTCCTTTCTCTTTTCATTTCGCCCCAGAGTTGCCCAATTTTTCCTTCCTCGCAGAAGCTAGAATCGCCCCGCATTGCTCGGCCACGCAAGCCGGCGGCTGCCATCGACGTATATATCGAGTTACGGTATCGCGCGATTACGGAAGCTTACACGTATTACGCGAATGCAGGATCGGAGCCGCGTCTATTTTTGTCCGCCTCGCGCGCTCGGTCGATTTTTTTTTTGGCTTCTGCGAAATTTCCACGCGAATAAAGACGCCGGGTGCGAGTGAGAAAAATTCCGAGCGAGGGTGATACGTGTCCAGTTGTTATATATCTTTCTCAGGACGGAGTCAAAACAGAATTGCAGATATAGGCACCCCCTTTCCGTATATATTTTCGAGAACCAGATCGAGAGAGGAGGACCGGAGCTCTGTTTTTCCAACGCACGAATGCGATGACATAATACTGCCGCCATAAGAGCGCCGAATTACGACGCTCTGGCGGACGCGCGCGCACATTGCCCCACACACGCACACACGCCCGCGACCTACACTGCAACGCGCGCGCGCGCTCGCGCGTTCGTGCACACGCCCGTGTTGCAACGACGTATGTATATACCCGCGTGCGTGCGCAACGCGGGTATACGCGTGCGTGTATGCGCGGCCAAGGCGCGTGTGCGGCCCCGCCGCGACCTTGAGCCTCCCTCTTGGACCCCCCCCCTCTCCCTTTACCGATCAGCGTGCGTTTTGCCACCACGCGATGCCGCGGTCCCCACCTATTCCACCGCGATGCTTACATCTCCCTCCTCTTTTTCGGCCTCCTCCTCCTCCTCCTCCTCCTCTTCCTCCTCCTTCACCTCCTCCTGCACCTCTCTCTCCCCGCGCTCCTCCTTTCACGCGGTTCCGGAGCCACGCAACTCTCTCGAGGCGCCTCCAACGCCTAAATTTCCCCTCCGCCTTCGCGCTTTTCGTGCCGCTGGTGGTTCCTAGCGATGGGCATCGATCGCGCTGCTCCGCTGATTTTGGATCCAAATTCGAGCACGCTATGACTATACCGGGCTTAGCGTTCTCGATTACGTAGATAAGAAAGTAATAAATTTCGAGATGGCCGAGATGAACACGTCAAATTTCACTCGGAGTATGCAAATTGCCTTCGGACATCTGCGCGCACAAGCGCTTACCCAAGGTTGTCACGCTCGAAGATTCTTTTTCTACCGCACGATTGCCGTATGTGACGTTCTACTCCCGCGATGCGGCCCTGGTTATACATTGGACGGAGAACGCGGTGGGGACGCGTGATACCTTAGAAGCGTTAGGGTCCGGGGAAGGAGAGGATAATGTTCGAAAATGAGACGAACAAGATAGAACGGCACAGCGCGCGCGCGCGCGCGTGCGAGAGAGCGAAAGAGTAAAAAAGTTCTTCAGCGCAGAAAGAGAAAGAGTGAGAAAAAAATAGGAGGGGAGCACCGCGAGAGTCGAAACTTCTAGCCTTAAGCAATCGCTTGGCCGTTCCAGCGATCCCTACCCCTCCGAGGAAGCCGCCGAATCGTCAATTCCCCGCCCGTGGCCACCCACCCGGTGGCCCCCTTTCCCCCGGTGGTTCCGTGTTTTGCCGGGTGCCCGACTAGAGCACCGAAAATCCCCCCTTCCCACACGCTTCGTTCCGTGTAACCGCATTTGCATCGCCACCGATGACCCATATTCACACTCTTCTCGGCGATATACCAGCAGCGGCGGCGGTCCCTCAGTGTTGCGCTCTCCCTCGTCCCTCTCTCTCTCTCTCACTCTTCCTGGCTCCCTCTTGAACGGTCCGTTCCCGTCCCCCTGTCGTCTCGCGGTACCGCGTTGCCGCCTCCTCGTTCCCTCTCGCTCGCGCCCGCGATTTTTCGGCTCCCGCGCGGCGGTGGACCCTCCCGCACGGCGACCGCGCGTACCCGGGCCCGGCCGCACCGCGACGACAGTCACGCGCGATTCGTTCATGTGCTGATGCGCGATGCAAGCCGGTGACTCGATTTCGGCCAGCAAGTGCGTATAGTCAGTCGTCTATTCAGTGCCCGCGCAACCGGTGCGTCATTGGTCCCGGAAACCGCGCATAGTAGGATACTCGAGGATTCTGCTTTTCGCGCGCAATTTACACACCCTCTTGGTGATACAACGCACAGTGGACACACGGCCCGGATTATGCGCCGCACGGAGCACACGTGCGTGCGGTGCCGAACTCCGTAACTTTTCTTTTGTCCTCTGTTCCGGCGTATACGCATACGCATACGGCGGCCGTGTCCATCCGGGACGCGAAACAGGGACCAAAGTGCATTTCGGAGTAGCGTCGCCGGTTGTCGTTGTTGTCGCCGTTACGTCGTTGCCGTCGAGATCCGTGAATGAAGTCGGAGCGGCTGTTCCGCCCGTGCGCGTTGACACGCCCCTGCCATCGGTAAGGTCTCTCCTCTTCGCGCTTGGCGTTCTTTATCGCGGGCGTCACGGAAATGCGGTGGAATTTTGACATGGCGCGGCCGGCATCGTGTGATCGCGCTTCGTGACTGCTGTGATAGGCGAACTCCGCGTCTCCGGCGAACTGGAATATTGTCCGTGCCCCGCGGTGTTCTCACCGCGTTCACGACGAAACCGCGCGCGCGAAACCGCGGCCGCTGGACCTTGTCCGATAGTTTCTCTGTCACGTAAACATATTACGTACGGAGCACCAGTGAATCGTAAGAGGTATGTCGCGATTGTGAGGTATCTGGTATCTCCAAGTTATCAACATCCAACATTCGCAGCTGGTGACGTTGGCCGTCACGATACGCCGCGATCTGTTATAATTCTTTCATGGATCGCGCGCGTTCATTCACGGAACGAGATTTTATTTCGATATAGCATACATTAACTCGGCAGTTGCATACAATAGCGAATAATGTATCGAGAAAATTTATGCGAAAATGTGAATTTCTCGATACTAAATGCCTCCTCCATGTGTGTCAACTTTTGAAACATATTGGCAATTTTATCAAACTTTTAATCGATTTATATTTTTTTCGAAATTTAACTATATTTCGGCGAGAGAAAAAAAGAGAGAGAGAAAGAGAGATCTGTGGATAACCCAAACTGCTTTCTGCGTAGCTGGACGAGCAATTGGGCACGAGCGCGATCAAGAAGGTAAATATCCATTGGAAGGTGGCTGCGAGAGGAGTGGTGAGGATCACGGAGTTGAGCCTAAGGGTGGCATCATGGACTCTCATCAGCAGCAGTTCTGCCTCAAGTGGAACAGTTTCGGCAGCAATCTAGCAACGACGTTCTCGAATTTATTCAAAAGCGAGAGTCTCACCGATGTCACCCTGTTCTGCGAGGGTAAGTTCCGTCACATGTGAAAACCTTATCCTTTCTCCTTACGATCTATACGCGTATATCCTTTTCGACGAATGAGTTTCCCAGCGAAATAATTCTTTGACACGATTCAATAATAGAAAAACATTCTACGGGTCGAATCACGGAATATTCCGAGAAATTATTAGATGTAAAACAATCGTTGAATATTTCGAAGAATTTATTAGATGCAACGCGATAATAAGAGTAAAAGTTATAGACTGAAGAATTCGGCCGGCTATTCCGAGACCTTGACTCCTCGGTCTCACTTATGCAGGCAGAAGGTCGCTTGACAACGCGCAAAAAGAAGCGCGACTCCTTCGTCGAATTGCATTCGCTTCGTAATAATTCTGACGTCACACGCGCTGCATTTATCGATACATTTAAGTCGGATCTAAGCGACGAGAAAGTTTCGTGTTTTCTCGCGCGAGCATAAAAGACAATTTCGAGCTTTCACTTTTTCGACATCACTTTCAAATGCCCGGGGAGCACCTGAAGGTTCTTTCACCGTTATCGCTCGATAGAACACACGGGCTCTCTCGTGACCGCGCGCGATCGGACGTGCTGACGCGTTGCAATTAATGCAGCACCGGCCATGTAATCGACGCTCATCAATTTAACGCGTGATATAAATTAATTCGATATTCAATTATTTCCCAATGTAAATGTCACGTGTTACACAAATGGTGATCAAACGCGACGACGAGTTCTTGCGTCAATATCGCATATTGACTTCTTTTACATACCTAAGCCAAAAGAGACGGACTAAAACTATTCCTGACTCGTTTTCTAACAGACCGCCGCCGCGCCGTAATGATGATTGAATGAATAAGATATTCTTTTCTCTTTCTAAGCTAGCGGAATTTTAATGAGAAGCTCTATAAATTTACAGAATGTCCTTTATATATGTTCGACATAGTAGGTGATCGTCAAAAATATAATAAACGATTGCCAGTATAATTACCTTTTGCCAGATATAAAATTTAATAGAAGAGATGTGATTCCTTGCGTGATTTACGCGACAATATGCTGAAAAATATATTCACGAAAAAAAAAGGGAAATCGGTAAATATTATTTGACTGGCGTAATAACAGGATGATCGTTTGGAGAATTAGCATAGCGTAATAGAAAACCGATGAGGAATTTCGCTTTCTTAATTTTGCGCTTTATAAAATCGCGTCCGACCAAACGCGAGTCGCGACTCCTTGCGCGAAAGGGCCGGCTGGCGGGCGCGTTGCATTCGCACGCTACCACTTCGCCGGCAAGTGGTACAAGTTCGCGACTGCATAGGAAGTGCAGGGGATAAACGGTTGGACCCGGCCCCCTACCCTCGTTGGCCACCCAATCGGCGCGGCGGCGCGCAGAGTCAGTCGGCGCGAGTCTCTCGGTCGTCGTTGCACAATGTTGGCGTCCGAGTGCAACGTACACGCACACGCACACATGCACATGCACATGCACGTGCAAACGGCGCGAATTTCCGTGTGCGCCTTCCCCACCGACGGCGACGCAGCGAATGCAACGGGCCGCTCTTGCGGCCCGTTCGCGCGAAACCGCAGTTCGCACCGAGCAGCGATGCAACGCGCTCGTTTCAGGGTTGCGGATTCTCTCGCTCGATCGATGTTTTCGAAAACCAATTAGTGTCGAAATATTTCGCGTAACGAGATCTCGCGTTGCTTGGAATGCGATAAACAAGAATGCGTAACCGATGGTTTTAAAAGTGTAAACAGATCGTAGAAATCGATCAGTGTCGAGGAACTTTTCGTCATCTCGAAGTGATGTAAACACGTATTATGATCATTTATGTTTTGTGTAATAAGCGTGTATACACGCGGCGCAGATACGCGGTTTACGGCGAACACGGGGCGAATCGAAGGGTCGCGGCGACGTCAATAAAATTCGGAAGGACTTATCAGTGGAAGTGCGCGCGCGATAACGGCGCTATGCCAGTACGTGAAAGTTAGAGATATTCGCCACTTTATCGTTCGCGCTGAATAAACAAGAATGTGCAACTTTCGGCAAACGTTCTTTACGCCCCGCTTTTCGACGCGACCGACTAATGCAGAACGTATACATATGCGCGCGGGCGCGATAACGCGTGTGTATATTTAAAGATTGACTCAGTGTTCCTCTAAGAGCGCGGCGCGCGTCAAGTCGAGAGCGTTCCGATCGATCGACTAATCTTCATCGCATACGAGGACCATAGAATTGGTCAAGTTAATTGACCAGTTGGCACACCACTTGCCGCGCGAGTCTTTTTTTTTCCTCGTCACGGTCTTCGTAATTATTTAGTGATCGATGAAGTGGCATCGTCAGCTTCTCGATATTCCGGTTACGGCCCGAACTTCCAGATGCAGTTGCGACGACTGCGTTGTTCGGACTTGAAGAGATTTAATAACATTGAAATGTAAGTGATATTATTTATCAGTATGTTTTCTGAACACATGTCGCGCCTTTCTCTCTCTTGTTATTGTTATTACATTTCCTGGACTTGAGTATAAAGGCACACGATTTTATATTAAGAGAAATTCGGTCTATCACTTTTATAACCGTCACTTATTTACATGCTATTATTCATTCCTCTTAATTGATAAGGATAAACGGCCTTAATGGAGCACGTGCAATCATAATCGGCAAAACATCGGACGAGCTAAACACTGCGTCGAGTAAACTAATTTATCACGTACTGGTCTCTGATATCTATCCGACATACAAACCGGATAAGTATACCGCATAAGAGCGATAGTACTATCTCTTGCAGTTAGGCCGTAAATGTACGAACTTATAGCGAGGCCAGTCAAGTAGCAAGCCTTACCTCTGTAATTTTCCTATCTGTTGTTGTTGCAATTTGTCTTGTATTATAAAACAAGCGTTCGTCAAAAATCTGGTTATGTCAGGCGATTCGCATTGACAAGAAATTGCGATAATTAAAAAAAAATGCATCCGCTGCCCTCCCCTCCCCACCCCTCTCGCATTCTCTCTTTCTCTTTCTCGCTGGACTATTTTTCTCAGATGACAGGCGAATGAACGATCAAAGTCTGTTGAAATCGAACGAAGCTAAAGTTCATGGATATCGATTCGCGATAACCCGCCGGGGATCGCCCTCCACTTTCGGGGGTCGCACTTCCGAGACTCTACTGACGTTCGGCGTCGATATTAATTCCACCGCGTATGCAACCGGCATGCTGTTGCCGCCCGGAGACGACCCGTTATACAATCCTCGTCTAACGCTTTCACCTTGCGAGCCGTGTGCGTGTCCCGATTTACGAAAAACCGCGACTGTGCGTTTGGAGAGAGCGAAAACGAGGCGGAACCGGGGAAAAGAGCGAAAATCGATGTGAGGAGTCCCTTCGATCTTCAAATACCTTCCTCCATATTGTAGAGTAAATCGAAGTAACAAGTTATTTTTCATACGCGATAAAAAAAATTAACATTTGGATCTCCGTGTTCGATACTACTTTGAGAAACGCACGTTGCTGAAACACGTAAGATACGAAACTGTAAGTTTCTCTCTCAAAAGGCCAAAGGGTGGAAATTTGAAAGGAAGCTCGGCGAGTGGGAAGGGTTCAAGGACGAGAGTCAGTCGGGGGACATAGGGAAAGGAGCGGTGCGTCAAATCGTAGCGTCACGAAGAAGCAATGTTGGGCAATTGCCGAGGGCTTTGTGGGCGCGCGCGCGCACGCGCGCCAGTGTGCGCACCCCGCAAGTGCGTGTATGTTTCTCGTAGGAAACCCGAAAAGTAGGTCTTGGTTACAGTTAGATCTAACTGTCCTCTCTCTCTCTCTCTCTCTCTCTCTCTCTCTCTCTCTCTCTCTCTCTCCCTCCCTCCCTCCCTCTCTTCGTGCTCGTCTCGATGCACACAAGACGGTGACACGGGCTGTAACGCACCGTGCCGGTAAAAATGTTGACTATAGCCGCGTGCGTGCGAGCTCGGCGTTTCTCCTTGGAAACCACCGCGGCTCTCGATCGTGATCGAGATCGCGCGTACGCTCGGAATTCACGAAAGAAGCGATATCCCCCAGAGATGCGAGAGATAGAAGGTAATCTTTGCGAGCCATCGATCGATCGGTTGGATCTTTTTTCCGCAAGGACGGCACGTTAAATTGTTTTGCGATATCGATTTGCAACTAACACACGACATATCTTTATCAGAAATAATCTTATATAAATAGATAAATGCTCTCACACACATACGCATACAATTCTATTTTTTCCACGCGTGTGTTTGAAATATTGCAAAGAGCCGTGTTTTTAAAGATTGTATCAGTCTCAAGTTTGATCTTGTAGGAAAATCTTATATAGAGTAAATTAAAGCAAAAAAAATAGCAAATTAAACATTACATTAGCGGAAGCGTTCTCCTGCGATAGCTTCACATCACGACAAGAATTTCGTCAAAACATTCGGGCGAGTGCGCCTCGCGCGCGGCGTATTGTTTGTCGAGGTATTAGCACGTACACGGCACTCTAAATTGGCGCTAACAATAAGAGGAAACGCAAAAGTCGGAAGTAGTACACACCGGTGTATCGGAAAGAGGAGGGCAATCGCCTATACATGCTCATTAGCGTGTTATTTCTCATAAATCGACGTCACCGAGCGATTATTAGTATACCCACGTTCCACGTTCTCGATTCGAGATGGACATTACCGTGGCAGGAAAGCTACTCCAAGGTAATCGCGTTCGTTTCCCCCGAAACGCGGGATATCGATCGAGAGCGTCGATAGGCGCCAATTGGCCCTGGGCACTATTCGGCCGCGTTGATCGGCACGTGGTGCCGTGTGCGTAAGTGCGTGAGTGCGTGCGCGCGTTCTCGCCTGTGCATGGGTGTCCATGACTCGCCGCGATATCTAACGAACTTTAGCAAGCAGCACGTTGAATTTAGGGCCAACGAGCCATATATCTGTCTCCATATATGTATACGTCTATCACACACGCGCTGGAACACGCGCGTGTGTGTGCGTATGTGTGTGTGCGTGGTGACTTTGACG